CCCCTTATCCCACGCAAGTCAAAAAGTGGCGTCCCTCCATGAGTCATCTCTTCAAGGGCTGGACCACGTTCATACTTTTTTTTTTTTTCTTAATCTGTTTCTGCTGATGTGCTCCATGCATTTAAAATAAATCCTTCTTTATAAATCTAATGGACTGCAGCTGAACAGCTGCCCAGGGCTCCTGTGTTAATGATGTCTCCTTCTGCCAATTCCTGTTCCAGATATGGCCGTCAAAAAAAAAATTATATATATTTGCCAGGCTGGGATGGAAGAAGAAGAACGCCCGGCAGGTCAACGAGTTGTTTTTAACCTTTGTGGAATAGCTTGGAAGACAATCTCTCCATCCACTGGGGTGTCAGGTTTGGTTTATGTGATCCCCCTTTGGTTTTTAGCTCCACCCGGCAATTTTCAGCTAATTCATGTTGTCTCCCTCTCCAGGGAAGGGAGCATTAGCATGGCAAAGAGTAATCTCTTCCAGGCAGGAACCATCTCATCAGTTCTTTGCTTGCCCAGCACCCTGCATAGTGGGTCCTGTCCACCACTGGGATGTCCGGGTGATGCTACCAGAGAAACGAACCATTAAAAAATGCAGGAACAGGTATAATTGTGAGAGAGTTTAGGGGCACTGAACAGCCTCACAAAAAGATGGCCTCAAACAGACTGCAGTAAAAGGGACATCTTAGCACATTATCAGGCTTGGCAATGAGGAGGCAACTCCTGCTGTTTTGGTACCCCCAAAGTTTGGGACCGGGAAAGAACAAGTATAGTGTCGTGAACTGGAATGTCACCATCCAAAACAGGATGTCGTCTGGATGCCAGGCTCGTGCCTGTATTGTTTTTTAAGAAACCACCAAGGCATCTTACTGATGACATGCTCTGGACCCTGCACCAACAAGTCGTGTGGTCAGCGATTTGACTCTGTGCTGTGAGTGATGATCCAGTGTTGACTCCAGGGATGCTGGACAGACACCTCTGTAGTGAGCGGCTCTCGTCCAAGAACTAAGTGACACCTGTCCTGCTTCTCTTGGGTGATGATCCACTAAGACTACAATCCAGGGAGCCCTGGCTGCAATTATTCAGGCTGAACTCTTCCCCGAACTTTCCCTTAGACTTGCTGCTTCTGCTTGTACAAGGGACAACCCTGACACAAAGCCCCATGTTTGGCCACTCATTTCGGAGCTGCAGGGGAGGCGTGGGATCTGGATCTGGAGCTGAACCTTGTGGGCTGGGTTCACCTCCAATGTCTATGGGATCTTTAGAGCAGTGGTGCTCAAGCTTTCAGCTCCATAGGCTAGATAAGTGGCATCAGGGCAGACTGCAGGCTTATTTAGTCTGGAGAAGGGAAGACTAAATAGGGATTTGATAGCAGCCTTCAGCTCCCTGCAGGGGGTTGCAAAGAGGATGGAGCTGGGCTGTTCTCAGCGGGGGCGGATGAGATGACCGAACAAGGAGCAATGGGCTCATGTTGCAGTTTAGGTTGGATATTAGGAAACTTTCTCACTAGGAGGGTGGTGAAGCACTGGAACAAGTTACCCAGAGAGGTGGTGGAGTCTCCCTCCTTGGAGGTTTTTAAGGCCCAGTTTGACAAAGCCTTGGCTAAGATGATATAGTTGGGCCTGGTCCTGCTTTGAGCAGGGGGTTGGACAAGATGTGACCTCCTGAGGTCCCGTCCAACCCTCATTTCCTATCTTTCTAAGATTTGAGGAAGAGGACTTGCCATGACGGCACTTGCTAATCCTCCTCTACAGCAAATCCCTTACAAGGCAAGTGAGAATCTTTAACATTCATTTGCCCAGCAAGTCACAAAAAGTAGGAGCTCAGAAACCTTATTTTCCAAAGCACCAATTATCTGCACAGGAACGGTTTTCTTTGAGAAGGCAGGCTTGTGATAGAAACATCTATCCGACAAAGGGAAAAGCCAGCGTGGTTTGGCTTCTGCTGCCCAGGCCATGTATCAGATCATCAGCACAGATGCACGGTACACCCTTCACCTCCAGCATGGAAAGTCTAAGCAAGTGACAAGGGAGCCAGGGGAAGGAACAGGAGGTGAATGCTTGGGAACAGGATTCAGGGCAAAAGTTTCTGCAGAGGGGAGAAGGAAGTCAGTGGCTGTTAAAGCACCTCAGTGTCTAGCATTCACCAGGAGCAGAAGAGCAGAGAGATAGTGTTTCAGATTTTCCTGCAGCGCTCTCCTAGATAGCCAACAACTCGTTCCTAACCCCTGCTGCTCCAGCTCTTGGCCCCATCCAACCTGAGCAGGACATGTGCCCAGGACGAGCGGCTGTGGATCCATGATTTTGAAATGAGGGGGTCTGAATTCTGCCCTCACTTCTATGAGGACGTTCCAGCTCCTCGCAGCATCCAGCACAGTGCTAGGCCTGGCCTGGATCTGTTAGCATGCAGGATCAGCTAGCATAAGTTAATTAACAGTTAGCAATCTGGGCTCATGGTAGAGGTGATCTCTTTTATTAGACCAAACAGATTTTGGCAAAAAAAAATCTTTAATTGCAAGCTTTTGGGCACAAACACCCTTCATCAGGCTAATATGCATCATCACAGAACCTCACAAGAGAGGTGAGAGACTCTTTAACAGATAAGACCTGCCAGCCCAGAGGAGTTTTCCATCTATCGACTCCTCTGTGAAATCCTATGAAATAAGAACTTGCATTTCAACCCAGGAGGACTTTTACAATCTTTTCTCTGATGCCTGATGAAGGGCGTTTGTGCCCGAAGCCTGATGAAGGGTGTTTGTGCCCAACAGCTTGCAATTAAAGGCATTTTTTTTGCAAAAATCTTGTTGGTCTAATAGGAGAGACCACCTCTACCATAAGCCCAGATTGCTTTCTCCTCTAGACCAATACAGCTACAACCTGGATACCTTACCAGTTAGCAGAAGTTTGCGTAAGACTGAAGCCTGCTTACCTGGGCTATGTTTTTACCCTCTTCCCGAAACAGCACGTACAACATCGAGCCCTCTGTAGCTCCTTCCCAGTCTCCAGCCCACTCTGTCAAATCCTGCAACACTTTTGCCAACCTGGTTTCTTATGGTCCAAGAACTATACAAGTACTGAGCACATGCACTCTCCCCCCTGGATTCCCCAGGGGCCAGGCAAATTGCAAATATAAAAAGGACTAGATCACCCTGCTTATAAAATATTGACCATGAAAGCAAACAGCCCTGCTTTGCCATTGGTTCACGCATTCCAGCCCCAACATGGCTCAGTGTTTTTGCAGAGCGAATAGATGTTGGTTTAAAGCCCAGCGCGGGCTCAGTGACCCTTTGGAAACTACATTACTGGGCTACACACATCTTACACAGCTCTACAAAGAGCTGATTTCCCACTGGAGAGCGCTGGCCGCACTCGCACTTCAACTCAATCAAAGCCGCCCTTCTTCGGGCCGACGCATCTACCCTGTAAATGTCATGTTTTATCTGGTATGGGGCAAGAGATGTGTCCTACTTTCCTACCGAGCAACTGTGCAGCTCCATCCCTGAGGGGCTGGAGGGTTTTTCCTTTTAAATGATTCAACAAAATGAGAGATGTCTTTTTTTTTTTAAACTTGACGGATTGCACTGGGGGAATTTCCTCAAGGCTCTCAGCCTAAGGGAAAAGGCTGAGCGCAATCTAGAGCCAGGGCTTGGCTCCAGGCAGATGTCATGCAAACCTCTCCAGAAAAGGTATTTCCATCCTGAACAGGATGTCTCAAGCTACTGCTAAGGCTCCCACAAACCACTGCCACCACATCTCATCCCGAACCCCATTTCCTTCGCTATCGGCCAGGCTGACAGTGCTGGAACTGGCAGTTGCGTCAAAATGGCAAATTTGAGAACTCTTTTTCCATGCCAAGCCCCTAAAGAAGTGGATGTCAGACTTTTTAGACTGAAGGAGCCCCTTGTTAGACACAAGGCACCCCTGATTAGACAATGCACCCCTCTTAGTTTTCACTCTGTTTGCAACTAGGGAAAAATAAGAGAGCCATTCTCCTATTGCAAAGAACTCAGCTTTGGGGTTTTCTTGTGAATCATGTTTGCACACCTACCAGTGTTAACAATGAGTGGCAACCTGAGGGCCCCCTGTAAAGGTCTCAAGGCACCCCAAGTTGTTGTGGCACCCTGGTTAAGAATCACTGCCCCCCAGTATTCAATTGAGCTGACTGAGGACAAGACAAGAACATTTCTGCCAGAAGGACTGGTCCAAGTCACCGATGCTGATATTACCAAGTGCGGTCAGTAGGTTTCAGAGGGAATAGCTCAGAGCTGTGAACCCGTCGGGTGTCAGTGAGTCATTTGGTCCTGTCCAGGGGGCCCCAGCACCACACAGGTTTGCAGCCAGGAGGGGTTTCAGTTTGAGAAATGGAAATGGAAATGCTGCAGCAGCCTTATTGCAGATGTGGAGCAATTCCCTAGTGAACACGGGCCTGCTCTGACCGGATGGAGACCACCTTCCTCCTAGCTCAGATGTCAAGTGAGGAGCGTGGAGGTGAGCGGCTGCCTAAGGCAAAACACAGGGCTGTTCCTGAGCTCCATACGACTCCCTCTGGAGCCTGGCAAGGGGAGGGCTAGCAGAAAAGACCCAGGTGCAGGCTGCAGCAACCATCAAGGTAACTAGGCTTGCTCAGCTGGGTTTAATGAAGCCATCTCCATCTTGTTCTGAAGAGCCGCAGCTGGCTCCATCTTCTAGCTCCCTGGAAAAGCCCCTTGCAGCGTTTAATCCTTGCTTGCAAACAGCTTTCTCTTATCTATAAGCACTGAAGCTTTTTATGGTTTGCCTACAAGCACAGGAACATTGGCTGGATTTGAAAGCCTGCAGGTGGGCTCTGAGCTCTGGGTCCCAGGACCTAGGCAGCCTCTATGCCCATTTTCTTTTCCAAGTTAAGTCATCATCACTGTGCTTTTATAGAGAGGGCTTGACTCTGACGCCTGCTGAAAGCAATGGAAAGTCTCCCCAGGACCAAAGCCATTCTACGTACCCTAAGTGAGCTCCCTTTCTATCCCCAGCCTCTAATCCAGTCTCTTCCTGCCCTTAGACTAGTGCTGCAAAACTTCTCCTTTGATGAAGCTTTCCCACCATCACCAGACCAGCATGCATTGCCTCAACCTATTACCCAGGAAACCCTGCCCCAACCAGAGCTACCAATAACTTGCCAAGGAAACCCCAAGAAATTCATTAGGGACTTGGCTACTGGCAAGCTGGTTTGGGTGGAAGGTGCACAGATACCACGGCTCTGCTGTCCAAGAGGGCTGAGAGGTCACAACACAACGGGCTCCAGCCAGCACAGCAACTGTTCAGCAGCCCAAAAGTCAGGCCATTTTGGGGGCATATTTTGTATGAATGGCTCATCCCCTTGGATATGGTGCTGCACAGGTATCACCGACCCACAGCTCTCTGGGGCAGCTCTTCTGCTTGTTCAAATCGGTGCAGCACCATTGATTGCAGCTGGGGAAGGATGCGAGCCCTCAATCCAAAAGCAGTTGCAGACTCTCATCTGTAAGACCCTGCTGCAATCTAGTGCAGGGAGCTCAGGGTTAAACACTGGGTGCAATGCTGTCTGTCCATGTCTCTGTTACTGCTTTGCTATGGGACCCCGGGCAAGACACCTCACTTTTCTGTGCCTCAGTTTCCACATCTCTAAGCATGCTAATGCTGACTTGCTCTTGGGAAGGTTGTTCTTGGGAAGAGATGAATTGCCCTCAAGTCCTGATTAGCAAAGGCATCTAAAGAGGTTGGGATTTCCCTCCTGTAGCCAAGTATCTAACTCTACTTGGGTTCCTGTCTGCCTGCTTAGGTATCTAAATGCCTTTGAAGCTCTGGCTCTAATACAGAATAATATGATTGTTTCCTCTAGGCATCAGAAAACTACCCTGTGCCTGCTTAGGTCTCCACATAGGAAGCAATTTCCACGCAACAGAGAAGATGAGTGCGTTTTGAACTCAGCACTTTCCTCCCTTACTCAGGGTCTGCGTTGTTATATTACCCCTTTGCCCTGTCATCCTCGACTCACGGACCCCCATGTGCCCACAACACAGGGACTTAGGCCTCCTTTTGCAGGGAGCCTTAGCGACAGCAACAAAATTTCAGGCTTGCAAAAGTGGAGGTCAGCGTCTGAAAAATCAAGCCCTCGGTCTTCAAGCGGTGGCAGCAGCATTAGCTGCAAAAAGCTACCACGTTAGAAAACAGCCAGAACCAGCTTGTCAGGGATTCATTTTGCTGCAAACTTTTAGCAACCAAACCACAGAATGGATGTAGCTGGAGAATGAGTGTAGAGTAGGAAGAAAGCCGCAAAAGCAAACTGCAGGGATTTTTTTTAATTATTATTATTCCTTCTGCTAAGCTTCTGGCACCACCTTTTGGAACAGGACATTATTACATCCAAGCTCATGCCGGTTTTCTTTGTGTGTTCCAGCGGGCTCCTCTCTTGCACAGAACGATCAAGCATGGACAAAAGTGACTGAACAGAGGCCATGCTTGCAGGGCTGGTTCATTAGTTGCTGATAGCACTCACATCCCTCAAGCCCCAGCACTTTTGCAAACAAGATGAAACTAAGGGCATTCAGAGATGCTGTACTTGTCACAACCTGCAACTGGGTTTCTATGCTTGGGACCTTCCATCCTTGGGCCAGCTAAGTAGGCTGCGCGCATGTATTGTGTGCAAGCACCTTGGTGAGGCGGACGGGAGCTGCAGTAGGAGCCCTGAGGGTGTGCACTGTGCAGTGATGATGCATGGAAGGATGGAGCAATAAATCCACACTGAAGTTCGGAGGCATGGGACGATCAGCTTCCCCATTCCAGTTCCCAATTCCCTCACCCACCTTACCAGTTACAGCCCCATGATCATTACAAGTCCTCCAAGTCTGACACGTGCAAGAAGCAAAAGTGTCCCCCTTGCCAGGGCAGAGCCAGCTCTGCCAGGCTTTTGAGTGCTAAGGCAGGTCAATTAAACCAATATTGGCTCTAATTAGCACTCCCACCAGCTGTTTGAAGTGGACATGGCCAGATTCTCTCCCGCCTTGGAGGACATCAAAGAAATCCTTCCCATTCCTCCCCTGATGGCTGAGAGCCACGCACTGGGGGCAAGCCAGGGGCAAGTGGAGCATGGAAAAGACAGGATTGATCACTGCATGTGATGACCATGGGGTGTGAAGCCATTTTCCATTCCTCTCCCTCTGATCGGCGCACCGTAATGCTTTCTCTGTCACAGGGTCTAAGCTAATGCTCATCTAGGTTAAGCTGTTCCTCCATCTCTTTCATACATGATCCTGGCCTGAGTGTCTTAAAGGGAAAACTGAGGACAGCAGGTGGGTTATCTTTTCCTGACCTGTCACCTTATGTGGGTGGGCTGGACAAAACAACCGAATCGTACTAATCCTACATGCAAACACAACACTTCCTAGCTCCAAATGAGGAGAATACCTGTAGAAAGTCAGCACAACCTTTGCAAGCCTCATCAGGGAGCAAAGCTGCTTTGATTGTATGTGGCAAATGCTACTGAAGTAGTACCTGGCCCACAGACTGTGGACTTGATTCCAGTTTTCTCCAGCGCTGGGACTCTGTTTATAGCACCTTCGATATGCTGCATGAAAACATCCCAGTCCAGATCAAAGAGGCCAAAGGCGAATTTGTCAGATACCTGGTGGGGGAAGAGGAAGACAGCTGAGTGAAGAGGGTTCTTTTATAACACATACCCTTATTTTGGGAGCTCCTGATGGGCTGTTTCCTGTAGGGTGCCTGCTGAAGCCAGTGGGAGCTTAGGGATTGACGCCTCGAAAAACCAGTCACAAGGAGCAACCTCAGGGACCCTTGAAGTCAAAGGGAGTTTTGGCATTGTCTCAAATAGTGCCATGATTTTGCCAGAGCCCATGTTAACTGCTTAGTGAAGGGGCAGCCCCCTTGTGATCTTGCCCAAGGTCACTCCTGGGATCTTTGGCATGGGTGAGACTGGATAAGGGACTTTTGAGATCCCTCTCTCCTTGCTGGCCCTTTTCAAGCGGGGTTGCTTCTTGTGCAGACCTTTCCCAGATCCAAAGACCACCAGCTTTCAAATTGCATCCTACCCTACCCACGGGACCCAGCTGATTCAATACAAAGGGTCCTGGTTCCTGGCTTTCAGGCATGAGCGAGAGCTCAAGGACTCATTTCTGCCCCTTCTTTGTCAAACCAGGTTTCCCAGGAATGTGTTTCATTTCTTATGAAAGCCTCTCCTCACTACTCACCTCCTCCCAGAAGATTGGATTTGACTCGTATCCGCCCACAGAGAGGGCATCGCCTTGGAGACGAAGATACAGGAATGTTCTGGAGATTTGCTTTGCAGTGACATTATAAATTAACCATATAGGGAACCTAATTATTTGTCCTCATGGCCTCATCCACCTCGTCCCCCTTGGGTCTCATTGCATAACCTGCCAGAACATCAAACACAGCCCTGGCTTTTCTGGCGTGACAGGTCCACAGTGCAAAGAGTGGAAGAAGACAATTCTGGCAGGTCATTCATTATCTGCCTCACTTCTGGCCAAAAATTGGCAAAAGGAACTGTAGCATCCTCTCCCAGCAATCCTTCTTCAGCTGTATTCCTCCACCGGCTCCCTGCTCCTTTGCCCATATTGCCACCCCCTAACTCTATGCCAGCACTGGGCTAATGATATAATTACCGAGCTCCCTCAACAGGAGAGAGACACTAAGCCACTGTTGCACAGCGTGGTGTTTATAGCCACTCTGATGATATTGCTGTATTTTTTTTAACCACAATGTTTTCCCTCATTATTTACAATCCCATATTCCCTTTCGAGTTTCCAACCATATGTTCGCACTGGCATGCACTAGTTTGTTACTTTTGGGTTGCTCAAGAGTGATGGCACTGAACACACCTAAATGTCATTGCAGGATAGAGACAGAGCGGACTTCCATAGTATGGCTGTGACCAGCTCGAGGCACACGAGGGTTAAGCAGATAGCACTGTTTTATTTTAAAGCATGGCAGTCTCTTTTTTTGTGTGTGTGCAGACTTGGCAAACAGGCATTGAGAAGAAAGACTGGCGGCAGCCAGTCACGATGAATTAGCTTCAGTGCTGGGCCCTTCCTGAGCCCCCTGCCTGGGTCCTGGTTAGAGTACGGCTCAGACACCAGCAAAACAAGATTAGCAGCAGACATGATACATGTGGAGCTCTGAGGTGTGCACTGCCAGAAGGCAAAGGGAGGTTAAGCAGCTGCAGAAGATGTTGATACGATTAAATAAGCTGAGTCTTAATTCGCTAAGCAGGTTCCCCGTGTGTGCCGGCCCCAGACCAACAGAGCAAGCCAGGCCGGGCTGAATAGAAGCTGGTTTCTATCCTGACGGAGGCTGAAGATTAACCACTTACAAAACAGTCCCAAATTGACCCCATAACTCCTTCCCCCGAACCACCCCTGAGTGGCTATGGAAGGCATGGAGATGGCACTCAATTAGTACAATGTCACTGCTACGATTGTATTAAACACAGCGATGGGACCATCATTTTCTAGGCGCTCCTGTAACAAGGCATGAGAAGATAGTCTACTGAGAACTGGCCGACTGGGGAACCAATGCGTTTCAATGCAATTTATGGGAAGACGTATTTATTTCTCTCCTACCCCACTAACACAGAGAGGTGAAGGGGTACAACGATCCTGTCTCTCATGCATGGAGAGCAGTGGACTGGTTTTCTTAAACGGTATACATGCAGATGTGTAAGTAGTACAAGTAGAATGATTATAGGGTCTACTATATTATCCACTAATATCCAGTATTATCCACTAATAATTCTTAGCATTTTAATAATAGACGCGTAGTTAGTGGATAGGGATACCGCCCTACAAAACCTATTCTCAACCCAGCCATTGACTTGCGAGGAAGCCTTGGGCAACAGACCTTTTCCCCCACTTCCACAATTTGTCTGCCTCATCATCCATGTGAGTTGTAAACTCTTCGGGGCACGGACCATCTCGGAGCGTATTTGTTTGGCAGCACAAAGGGGGCCCAATTTTGGTCGGGACAGCTAAAAACCGGTGTAATATAAATAACCATCTTATCAATAAATGACCCCTTAACATCAGCTGTCAAGGAATCTAAATGTAAAAAATAATACTCATCTTGGTCAAACACTTTGCAATTGCCTGTAGAAAACTCTAGCCAGGGTTTAGTAATGTTATGACACGATGCGAAAGGTATCGCAGTGTTTAGGCTCTGACTCAGCGAAGCGTTTAAACACACATTTGCCTTAAGTATGTGTTTAATCAGCTTCTATTCAACCCAGTGTCTAAGCACATGTTTAAATCTCTCTGAAGCCTGAAAGAGAAGGCGAATGACATTTCTACATGCTCCAGGTCCAATTTTGCCCTGCTTTAATCCTCTCTGTAGCCCCACTAAGCCCTGTGGGCAGGTCTGTGGCAGAGCCAGCCCCTCGGTATCAATTTGGCTGATGCTTTGTGCAGGACTGGCCTGCCTAAACCTTCCCACGTTTGAAGCCAGTGTAGGTGGATGATCGCTGAGGTTTCCTGAAAGACGTCCTTCTCTGTACAGAGCTCGTGTTGCCCAAGAGAGACATCTAGCTGCAAATGGAGGGATGAGCTCTGCCCAGGCAACATTTGTCTCGGAAAGGTACAGGTTACTGCGCGGAGATGGCGCAGGGGGCACAGGCTCAGACACAACTGGGATCTGCTCACACAAGCACTGTGTGAAACAGGTGATGTGCTCTTTCCACGGCAAAGAGAGGGACCAGAGAGGGCGTTCTCAATCTTACTGCTTCGTGATGCTCTTAAGTACCCACAGAGCACTGTGGGCAAAGACAGCCAGTAAGCATTTGCACAATCATCTTGCAAAGAAAACCCACGCCATGCATGTTCCCTCTTATTTCCTTATTCATGCACGTTTGGGGGTAGGAAAGGAAAAAAAAATGTTAGAGACTTGGATCCTAAGATTTGGGAAAATCAGAAGTCCCCACATCCTGGCCCAAGTCCCTTCTGCAACATGCCCAGTAGCACATGGTGGGTCGCAAGCCTGCCAGGCACAGAAGAGGAGCGACGGACTAACCTGAATGCCCTCTATCCGCTCGGTCACCACATACGCATGATGCATTGCCACCAGGGGCACGCTGACGCCAGCCATCTGACCTAGGGCCCGGGCCCACACACCTGTCCAAAACAAAAAACCCCACTAAAATAATCTACCTCTTAGTGAAGAAGAGTGTCCATCACTCAGGTCACCACTGGACTGCGTGGGGATCTTCAGGCAGAGACCTGCAGCTCAGAGAGCATTCAGACAACCGCCAGATGGGTTTAAACAGGGAATGAGCCAGGCTCTTTGACTCGCATGCAACCCAAAACCAGGTCCTTCCCCTCCCTGATTATAGCTATGGTCAACCAAAGTGTGGCCCGTATATGTCAGAGGCTAGACAAACCCTAGTAATCATTGGGACAGGAAGGGTAAGTGTCATCCTGGCATGTCCCCAAGGGGAAGATCGATGGGTAAGTGGCTTTTATTCCCTACCTGCACAGTTCACCACGCAGGGAGTCTGGATGGTCCCATAGCTTGTTTCCACGGCAGTTACCCTCTGCACACCAAAGTCATCAGCTCTGACCTGGATACCGGTCACCGGGCAATTCTCTATTACCTGCAGACACATAAATCACCTGTGCCACTGGAGCTGGAATGACGTGCCAGATCATCAGACCACTGCTATTGCCCAGTCCAGGTCTGCAGCCACGATGCCTTCGTTCCTATCTAGGAAAGGCTTGACCGAAACAGAGATCTCTCACTGATCATTTTCTTTCACTTCCATAAAATCATGACTATCCCTGGTGGGTAATTAAATCCTCCTCTTTAATTGGGGGCTTCAATTACTTGCCAGCACAGTTACTTATATGTGATTTTAAATTGCAGAAAGCTCTTATTATTTATTTGTATTGTAGCAGCACAGAGGAACCTCAGTCCTGGACCAAGCCTCCGTTACAGGAAGGACGGTACCCGCATGCAGCAATATGATGATCCCTGACCCAAGGGGCGTAGTACATGTTATCAACTCGATAGTCCTGAAAAAGCTGTGTTGGGATCTCTCCCATCTCATCTGTATTTCCCCGAGTCTTGTAGCTCCTTTACAAATCCAGTGCTGTCTCTCTACCCGATGAGATACAGTTGGGCTGTCCTTCCAACCAAGCCAGTCAGGGCTGTATCCTCATCACCCAAAAGAAGTGCTGCTAAGCAGAGCAAGACAGCTCAGAAAACACCTGGAGCTGGTTCATGAGTGCCATGGGGAAATTGTTTCATCTGTGTCATCAAAGGTGTCAAGAAGAGGTTGGATAAGTATTGATCGGGAATGATCTAGGGGTAGCTATGCCTGTGCTATGCTATGCTTCGCTTCCCATGCTTCTCGCCTTTGCTGGTTGCTACAAGGGGCCTGGAAGGGATTTTTTTTCCCTTCCTGTTGCTACATGTGGGGTTTTTTTGCCTTCCTCACTGGGTGGTGGCTGAAACCCAGGCTGGACGGTTTGACCGGGGGGCCAGTTACCAAAGCGCCTCTGGCAGTTGCTGCCCTGGTAAGTGTTGTGCAGGTACCAGCAGGATCCATTGTGCCATCCTTAGGGACGTAGAGCGTGCCATACAGGTCATCCACATTCATCAGTGGATACAGGTCCTTCGTTTCTGCGGGGGACAGGACATAGGACTCTACGCCATACACCTTACCCAGCTAAAATGAGATACAGAACAGATGTGTTAGAGCAAGCAGGATAGACCGGTGATGTGTCTTCGGTTTTCTGCACAACAACCGACAGTAATAATGAGACAACACAATGCACCTCTGGGTCCCAGATAGCAGACAGGCTAGGTCTAGCTATGAGCACTGCTGCAGTGCGGCTCTAACTGGCTCCTGTGGGATTCTCAAAATGCAGAACATGGCAAACACCTCTAGCAAGCTCCCACCCCATTGAAAGAGATAGGGCCCTCTTCCTATGCACCTGTGCAACTTATGATGTACTAAACAGACAGTATTTTGATATGTATGTTAGGAATGTATGGAGAAAATTATGATGTACTAAACAGAAACGGGCAAAACTCCAGGAATAGGTTTGGTTGTGCAAAGCCCAAACTGGGGATGCGTTTGATTTGGGGATCTGTATATCTAAGACCTATGTATCTTTTGCATACATAAATATATGCATGCGTGTGTGTGTATACACACACCACACATGCACACGCACAATATACAGTGGGGCAGGAGGATACCTAATGGGCCATGACAATGTGCATTTTTCCCGTACCGGGGAGGATGATAACTTGTGAAACCATGATCCCTGGCAAACCTGCACAGAGAGCTGTGTCACAACCCAATTAAGTAGTGCCCATGTCACAAGCAAGAGATACCAGTTAAAGCAGTTCTATTTTGCACTAGGTTAACTAAGGGTTAACAAAATGATAACAACAGCCTTCTTTGCTCTGCGTGTCAGCGAAAAGAGATTTATAACTGCGACACTAACTAGAAATGAAACTTAGCCTTCTGTGCTTTACATAAATCATTATAATTGGTCAAAGAAAACAGGGAGTAGCCCTATAAAATTACCCTAGCGAAAACCACTATATAATTGGTGATTCTAATTAAATTTATGACGTGGCGAAAACCAATTGGCTATTACACAAATAAAACCCACATACACTTCCGCAAAGACGAAGAAGGGGAACCTCCGCACACACCTTGGAGACCTCTGAATGTACGTGTCAGAGTAACTAACAATTTGATCACTTGTCAGTCGTCCCCACCCCCGTTTCGACCCAATCTCAGATGTAAATCAACGACTGCTGGCCCGACCATTTCTGCCCAACCATTTCCGAACACTTATGCAGACCGACCTACGAACTCTTACACTGTAACTAACCAAGTACCTCTGACCTCCGTTATTCACCACCTTGACGGCGTGAGTAAACAATCTCGCTTTGTAACCGATAAGCGTCCGCCTAATTAATTCCACTCCAAGCGTCACAAGTACCCGCCTGACGGCCTTCTAAGGCTCCCGGACTCCTTGCTGCAGTGCACGGCAGCGACAAGCTGCTCCCTTTCATTTCATTACTGAGAACAGCATAGAGGTTTTGTTGGCTTTAGTACTGTGACTCTCAGCTCGGCAGCATGGGAGGCCTCTTTCACCATGCATGTAGTAGCCACCAGTGGGATTGGTTTCTAGCCAAAACCGTCTCTCAGCTATAATGTGAGTCTGCGCTAGCACTGCACAAGATAACCATGGTCTGTGCAAACTCAACTGTTAGGAATCACAAGGTGAGCTACAGCCACCCTCACCTCTCTGGGGTCTCTGATCCCCACTCCCACCTCTCCCCTTCCTCAGTTATCATCACTGTGCTTTTATAGAGAGGGCTTGACTCTGACACCTACTGAAAGCAATGGAAAGCCTCCCCGGGACCAAAGCCATTCCATGTACCCTAAGTGAGCTTCCTTTCTATTCCCAGCCTCTAATCCAGACTCTTCCTGCCCTTAGACTAGTGCTGCAAAACTTCTCCTTTGATGAAGCTTTCCCACCATCACCAGACCAGCATGCATTGCCTCAACCTATTACCCAGGAAAACCTGCCCCAACCAGAGCTACCGATAACTTGCCAAGGGAACCCCAAGAAATTCATTAGGGACTTGGCTACTGGCAAGCTGGTTTGGGTGGAAGGTGCACAGATACGGCGCGGATGGGCAGCAGCACACAACCCCCAAGTAATTAGACCTCCCCAAAATCCCTTCACATGGCTAGTGGATAACATCCACCCCAACTCATTTGGAGAGGAAGGCAGGATGACTCCCGCTTACAGACATGAGCCTCTTGTACTCGTCCAGCCAAGCTGGTTTGGGTGGAAGGTGCACAGATACCACGGCTCTGCTGTCCAAGAGGGCTGAGAGGTCACAACACAACGGGCTCCAGCCAGCACAGCAACTGTTCAGCAGCCCAAAAGTCAGGCCATTTTGGGGGCATATTTTGTATGAATGGCTCATCCCCTTGGATATGGTGCTGCACAGGTATCACCGACCCACAGCTCTCTGGGGCAGCTCTTCTGCTTGTTCAAATCGGTGCAGCACCATTGATTGCAGCTGGGGAAGGATGCGAGCCCTCAATCCAAAAGCAGTTGCAGACTCTCATCTGTAAGACCCTGCTGCAATCTAGTGCAGGGAGCTCAGGGTTAAACACTGGGTGCAATGCTGTCTGTCCATGTCTCTGTTACTGCTTTGCTATGGGACCCCGGGCAAGACACCTCACTTTTCTGTGCCTCAGTTTCCACATCTCTAAGCATGCTAATGCTGACTTGCTCTTGGGAAGGTTGTTCTTGGGAAGAGATGAATTGCCCTCAAGTCCTGATTAGCAAAGGCATCTAAAGAGGTTGGGATTTCCCTCCTGTAGCCAAGTATCTAACTCTACTTGGGTTCCTGTCTGCCTGCTTAGGTATCTAAATGCCTTTGAAGCTCTGGCTCTAATACAGAATAATATGATTGTTTCCTCTAGGCATCAGAAAACTACCCTGTGCCTGCTTAGGTCTCCACATAGGAAGCAATTTCCACGCAACAGAGAAGATGAGTGCGTTTTGAACTCAGCACTTTCCTCCCTTACTCAGGGTCTGCGTTGTTATATTACCCCTTTGCCCTGTCATCCTCGACTCACGGACCCCCATGTGCCCACAACACAGGGACTTAGGCCTCCTTTTGCAGGGAGCCTTAGCGACAGCAACAAAATTTCAGGCTTGCAAAAGTGGAGGTCAGCGTCTGAAAAATCAAGCCCTCGGTCTTCAAGCGGTGGCAGCAGCATTAGCTGCAAAAAGCTACCACGTTAGAAAACAGCCAGAACCAGCTTGTCAGGGATTCATTTTGCTGCAAACTTTTAGCAACCAAACCACAGAATGGATGTAGCTGGAGAATGAGTGTAGAGTAGGAAGAAAGCCGCAAAAGCAAACTGCAGGGATTTTTTTTAATTATTATTATTCCTTCTGCTAAGCTTCTGGCACCACCTTTTGGAACAGGACATTATTACATCCAAGCTCATGCCGGTTTTCTTTGTGTGTTCCAGCGGGCTCCTCTCTTGCACAGAACGATCAAGCATGGACAAAAGTGACTGAACAGAGGCCATGCTTGCAGGGCTGGTTCATTAGTTGCTGATAGCACTCACATCCCTCAAGCCCCAGCACTTTTGCAAACAAGATGAAACTAAGGGCATTCAGAGATGCTGTACTTGTCACAACCTGCAACTGGGTTTCTATGCTTGGGACCTTCCATCCTTGGGCCAGCTAAGTAGGCTGCGCGCATGTATTGTGTGCAAGCACCTTGGTGAGGCGGACGGGAGCTGCAGTAGGAGCCCTGAGGGTGTGCACTGTGCAGTGATGATGCATGGAAGGATGGAGCAATAAATCCACACTGAAGTTCGGAGGCATGGGACGATCAGCTTCCCCATTCCAGTTCCCAATTCCCTCACCCACCTTACCAGTTACAGCCCCATGATCATTACAAGTCCTCCAAGTCTGACACGTGCAAGAAGCAAAAGTGTCCCCCTTGCCAGGGCAGAGCCAGCTCTGCCAGGCTTTTGAGTGCTAAGGCAGGTCAATTAAACCAATATTGGCTCTAATTAGCACTCCCACCAGCTGTTTGAAGTGGACATGGCCAGATTCTCTCCCGCCTTGGAGGACATCAAAGAAATCCTTCCCATTCCTCCCCTGATGGCTGAGAGCCACGCACTGGGGGCAAGCCAGGGGCAAGTGGAGCATGGAAAAGACAGGATTGATCACTGCATGTGATGACCATGGGGTGTGAAGCCATTTTCCATTCCTCTCCCTCTGATCGGCGCACCGTAATGCTTTCTCTGTCACAGGGTCTAAGCTAATGCTCATCTAGGTTAAGCTGTTCCTCCATCTCTTTCATACATGATCCTGGCCTGAGTGTCTTAAAGGGAAAACTGAGGACAGCAGGTGGGTTATCTTTTCCTGACCTGTCACCTTATGTGGGTGGGCTGGACAAAACAACCGAATCGTACTAATCCTACATGCAAACACAACACTTCCTAGCTCCAAATGAGGAGAATACCTGTAGAAAGTCAGCACAACCTTTGCAAGCCTCATCAGGGAGCAAAGCTGCTTTGATTGTATGTGGCAAATGCTACTGAAGTAGTACCTGGCCCACAGACTGTGGACTTGATTCCAGTTTTCTCCAGCGCTGGGACTCTGTTTATAGCACCTTCGATATGCTGCATGAAAACATCCCAGTCCAGATCAAAGAGGCCAAAGGCGAATTTGTCAGATACCTGGTGGGGGAAGAGGAAGACAGCTGAGTGAAGAGGGTTCTTTTATAACACATACCCTTATTTTGGGAGCTCCTGATGGGCTGTTTCCTGTAGGGTGCCTGCTGAAGCCAGTGGGAGCTTAGGGATTGACGCCTCGAAAAACCAGTCACAAGGAGCAACCTCAGGGACCCTTGAAGTCAAAGGGAGTTTTGGCATTGTCTCAAATAGTGCCATGATTTTGCCAGAGCCCATGTTAACTGCTTAGTGAAGGGGCAGCCCCCTTGTGATCTTGCCCAAGGTCACTCCTGGGATCTTTGGCATGGGTGAGACTGGATAAGGGACTTTTGAGATCCCTCTCTCCTTGCTGGCCCTTTTCAAGCGGGGTTGCTTCTTGTGCAGACCTTTCCCAGATCCAAAGACCACCAGCTTTCAAATTGCATCCTACCCTACCCACGGGACCCAGCTGATTCAATACAAAGGGTCCTGGTTCCTGGCTTTCAGGCATGAGCGAGAGCTCAAGGACTCATTTCTGCCCCTTCTTTGTCAAACCAGGTTTCCCAGGAATGTGTTTCATTTCTTATGAAAGCCTCTCCTCACTACTCACCTCCTCCCAGAAGATTGGATTTGACTCGTATCCGCCCACAGAGAGGGCATCGCCTTGGAGACGAAGATACACTGAAGCATCGTGATCTCGAACATTCGGCATATTCTAAAAATAAGTAGAGAGGAATAGCATCAAGCCGTGGCAGGAGAAAGCCAATCATGCCTAGTGGAGTCACCTGAGCAGCTTCTGTCCTGGGATCCTGCGCCAGCGGGCACACCAGAGCTGCGTGGAGAACCAT